CTCATTAAAATCAGAAACAAGTTCTTGCTATCGCCGAGGACATCCCATTACAGATCACGTCAGAACAACCTTTCGCGAACTATGCCCGACCAATGAAATGACACAGGAAGTCAACGTTAGCCACTTAGAAAGCAGCTTTCTTAAGCTTTGCGGTACCAGTTTTAAACTTGTGACTTCCATTCCAGACTATTTTTTAAAAGTATTTTGAATAAGTCTTCCAGTCCGTAACAGTTGTTTTGTGTTAAGCTTTAGAAGTTGCATGATTAGAAAACATTCCGCTAACAATGTCACATAACAATATGTTATTTTTATATTACGTGTTTACGTAGTTGTCCGATTTTCGATCACGAACGTTGATACTACTTAATTACACGTTAATCCGACATAAACATATGCAACCAACAATGTCAGATTAACGGGACTTGCCTGTATATATATTATCACTGACTCTTGCGATCATCACTGTATTTGTGTATTTAATACTGACCACTGTCATCATATTATAAATTGCCATTGAATATTGTGCTGCACTCCATTATTTACTGCCATTGTAATTGCTGTGCAGTAATTTGTATTGATTTGTAAACTTAGTGAATTATGTATGTACATTTGTTGATTGTATACCACTTGTTGGTTGTTTGTTGGTTTCACACTAAGTTCATACAGATTTCTGGGTTAACATATTGTTTTAGTTTGGGAATTGACACGTAACACTAGATATATGAAATATTCATTGCCCTTATCATAAAGTACGAGTGTAGATATATGAAATATTCATTGCCCTTATAAAAGTGGGAGTGGAGATATATGAAATAGTCATTGCCCTTATCAGGATAGTGGGAGTGAAGATATATGAAATAGTCATTGCCTTATCATATTAGTGGGAGTGTAGATATATGAAATAGTCATTGGCCTTATCATGATAGTGGGAGTGAAGATATATGAAATAGTCATTGGCCTTATCATGATAGTGGGAGTGTAGATATATGATATAGTCATTGCCCTTATCAGGATAGTGGGAGTGTAGATATATGAAATAGTCATTGGCCTTATCATGATAGTGGGAGTGAAGATATATGAAATATTCATTGGCCTTATCATGATAGTGGGAGTGTAGATATATGAAATAGTCCTTGCCCTTATCAGGATAGTGGGAGTGTAGATATATGAAATAGTCATTGGCCTTATCATGATAGTGGGAGTGAAGATATATGAAATATTCATTGGCCTTATCATGATAGTGGGAGTGTAGATATATGAAATATTCCTTTTGATTCTGCTATTACTCCTGCACAGAGCGTCAGTGGTTTCACCATATACTCAATAGGAAACATTTGGCAACGCAGGTGAGGAGAGAGTGGGTTTAATACAGTATTTCAGTCATATCACAGCATGTCTCCTTCATGTGAGAGTTAAGCCTGAAGTGATGCAGGTCACCACTTTGGTGCTGACAAACCTAGAAACTAGGGCTGGGACGAGTCCAAATTTACTACCCGGGTACCCACCACACTATTACCCGACCCTACCCGGGTACCCACTATAGACTTGGGTGTAAAATGTCTGACTGGGAGTTGTTTGGCCGTATCCCTGGTAAAATGTATTGAGATACACGTATAAAACGATCTGGTCATGCGTACACTGAAGTTGACCGAAGGTTTATCTTTATTCAAACCTATAAAGGTCAGAAGGAAAGGGTGCATAGTCAGAAAGAAATGCGAACTTTAGTGACTTGTAGTGTAACCATAGAGTTGTAGATATTTTTGTCATAAAACAATATATCGGGTGACTAACCACGGGTCCGGGTCATAAAACAATATATCGGGTGACTAACCATGGGTCCGGGTCATAAAACAATATATCGGGTGACTAACCACGGGTCCGGGTCATAAAACAATATATTGGGTGACTAACCACGGTTCCGGGTCATAAAACAATATATCGGGTGACTAACCACGGGTCCGGGTGCCCATGTCCTACTCAGTACCCACCCGACCCGAGTACCAGAGTTACCCAACCCAATCCTACTTAGAAACACAATCTGGGATTCAAACCCACTACCACAGGTTTCAACAAGGTGGCTGTGTTTTATGGTCACTGCATCATATCAGCTGATGGACAAACAACGTCCCAAATGAATTCAGACACTTAAACAATGTGTCAGACGCCCAAATCATACTAATTCCTCATCAATACACTATCTTCCTCCATGACGATACATATGACACTGACATTGATCCTTAAACTTACAATAAAACATGGCCCGATATGGCCATCTTAACATGTGGGGCAACTTGGACCATATATAGATGGATATAAACAATAGCAAAGTGATGAAAGTGATAATCAATCTGTTTCATGAGATAATATATTATTCAAAACTGCAAGAAAACACTATTTCATTTCTGAAAAGTGAGTACTAAAATCCATAATACAGAAGACCAGACAAAAAAGTGTTTTTTTTTAAATGGTTAAAGTATGGGTATAGTATAACTGGTCTTTCTTTATTATATATTTGCCCAAGTCAGACACCCAATATATTTTTGTCCACTGAATTGAACCGTGGGCCAAAGGGCCCAAAAGTGCAACTTTGTTCTGGGGTGTTAACAAGAGTTACCTCCCTTCTCCTTTACCATCATGTATTTTGTGTGACAGACCTGGGAACTATTGTGTCCAGAACAGTTTGGTCATGTTTTGTGCCTCAATAGTCCTCTTGGTTGTAGTGAACAAATGGTTAGGTGACATTTCCAACAATACCATAGAATCCAAGTCATGAATCTCTTGACAAACAAATTGAAGAAAAACAATGATCTGGTCATGAATATCACAAGAAGAGATGCATCCATTTAATAATAATTTGTTCACTTTTCATCCATCATGTACATGTTTCTCCCCAAGCTCCCACCATGGGAATAGTGTTTGTGTGTTTGAGGGTCGGTGCTGCACATTTACTGGAGTGGGGAACAGCTGGAGATTGTGCTGCATGGCTTTTACTGAAAAACATCCTCTGCATGAACATCACTTTTTCTCTGATCATTCCAAGCTATATATACATATACACACTACTCAAAAGAAGTGAAAGAATACCCAATTGTTTCATGACTATAGTTAATCTGACATGACAGAATGACTATAGTCATATGAAAAATTGGGTGCTCTTTAACTTCTTTTGAGTAGTATAGGTGAATGTCTTAAATATCAAAAAGTAAATTAAGACGCTACTTTACCATGACCTTTAATCCTCAGGGATGTGAAATCTCTGCAGAAACGCGGAAAATCGCGTTTTTTAAAACAGTAGTCCTCGGAAAAAATCATCTTCCGCGTAATTTTTTTTAAAAAAACACTCCGAAAAATATGATCTAAAACCGGACAATTGCCACGGATTGTCCTGTTTTCGATCAGAGCTTTCACCAGCATAGGTTTTCGGACATCATACGTTTTCTGTCACGAATACTTGCACTATAACGTGGGGTGTGGCGTCACACAGAAATTGTAAATACTCAGAGTCAGCTGATGGCTTGTTTTTAAGATAAAGTTGTCTTTTAGCCTGTAAGTGAATGAGATGTTTTACAGTTGTTCATGTGATAAGCGAGAAAACTATGAATGTTTCTTCAGCATCCAAAACCCCATGTCATGGGGATATATGTTGTATTAATGTCTTATGTTTGCAATGGAGTTTTGTTTTCTTCACCAAAAGGTAAGTAAGTACAAGGTAAGTTTTTTTCAATATGCTTCAACATGGGGAAAGGGTCAGACATTGCACGCTTGTGACAGTTGTCCTTGTGTCTGGGGGATGGGGGTTGAAGTTTATGGCAGTATTGCTCCCAGACCTGGCGGGTAGCCAGGTGCGCGAAAGCTATGCCCAATTTTTTAAAAGTACTGATTTAACTTCGAAATTTTACTGCATCTGCCATCTTGTTTATTTGACTTATTGACTTTAGCCATTGACTTATTACATTTCTTGGTGTAAATGTTGTCCAAACTGCACGAAATTGCTTAAAATGCAAACAAATGTTTTAAAAATTTCTGGGGGGGCATGCCCCCAAACCCCCTAGACTTTTCCTCTTTTTTCGGGAAAACCTGCTCACATCCCTGAATCCTAAATGTGACATTTTTCAAACAACTTGTTCTGCATCCAACCTTCCCCAAAGATAAAGTAACCAATTAAATATACCTACAGATAATAATAATAATAATAATAATAATAATAATAATAATAGGTTATATATTTTGCACATATTTCCAAACCACTCAGCATGCTCAGGGGTATATGCTCAAATCACAAGTAATTCTTAAGTTGATCAGTAGCTGCTGGAGTTACACACCATCGTCCACACTAGGGAAATACGGTGCCGGATGCAGTGTTATCACTGTATAATCAACCTTAATATCCCTATGTGAAAGGCATGCTGTAGATAAGGCTGATTTACCAGTGCACAGCGATACCAACCTCTATGATGAGATACACGATATGTTCCCCTCTGTACTTAGTTTAGCATATATATTGGTATATTATATATATTACCTTGTATCATGACCATTTATCAAAATGGAAATTTTGATACAAAGACAGGGTTTGCAGATTTTTGTTATATCAAAATTATGCAATATTTCCAAAAATAGTGTATCTAGATACATAATGTATTCTGCTGACAGTGAGATTTTGTGCTGCAGGTGCTCCTCAACCCAAACACATTTACTGTTTCACTGATAGCCAACATCAGAGAAAGAAAGGCTTACAAACTGAAAGACATCACAATTTCTCCATTGAGTCCCTTCTAACCCTGCCTCAAGAATATCGGTAGCGAGGGAGTTACGCTTAACACCCCTTTGAACAGTATTCCACTTCGACAACTCAAAAGAAGTTGAGGACCACATGATTCTTTCATATTCCTATAATTAATTTTGTCATGCCATGACAGATTAACTATAGAAATATGAGTGAGTGAGTTAAGATTTAACGTCACATCGGCAGTATTTCAGCCATATCGTGACAATATAGAAATATGAAAGAATCAAGTGGTCCTTTACTTCTTTTGAGTAGTATATAGTGTCAGCTTGATAGTGAAGAGGTGATGCAGGTCTTCAACGTTTAATACTTTGGTGAAACCAACGAGTAGGGTATGGTCCATAAGTAAACCATGATCGTAAGTTTCACCAAAGAAAGGCAACTCTATACAGAAAACAGTGGCGCTGTGGATGACCTGGCCACCCATGTCCCCATGTCTGAAGTTGATGCAAATCAAACATAATCCCTATCATCCTTCAGCTAAAACCCACAAGGCTTGTAATTATTCTTTGGCATTGATCACCCAGATACCCAGATGTACTTCATGTGACCTCTGGTGACCTTGACCTCCAACGGAAGTCAGCCACAATCAGACCCGTCCCCACATACCATCGATGCCCGGTGATGTAACAATCCAATCAGAAAATATCATGTTGCATCACAACTTGCTTGGTCACTATCTTTATTTGATGCCTAATTGATAAAGACCTCAAATGTCAACTTGTCATATGCCAGACACATTACTAGGTGCATATTTCTATTTATACTACTTAACAGAAGAACAACACCTGAATTGTTTGTGTGTCTGTCATTATTCTGTCATGACCATGGCAGATTAACTGTAGTCATGTGAAAAAATCAGGTGTTGTTTAACTTCTTTTGAGTAGTATATATAAGTGCTTTAAGTTTAACCTCTCTGAACATGTAGTGAGCATGTGGTACACCAAACAAAGTGATCGTGGTGGTGTTTTACATAGAGCTAATACCTATTACCAATAAATCAATCATGTGGTATTACAGTGTTAAAATCATTCTTTGCTGTTGAATTAATAAAATTCAACATGAATATAAAACAATCAGCTCTTCAAAAATTGATTTGTTTAAAATAAGTCATCTGTAACTCTTGCAGCCAGATAAGGCTAATACAGGGTCACCATTTCCATGGCAACATTGTGCTGAATATTCAACTGTAAAAGCAGAGCACCATCAATGGAGATGTCTTCATCTGATGTCCTGTTTCTTGTGTCGAAAAAAAACGTATCGAGTCAGCATGGAAACAACACAGGGCATTTGTTTCATCTTGTCCGTAAATTCACGGTCCGTGCAGGACGCAAACTCGTACGCAACAATCCTGTTGACATGTGTGAGCATGTGGAGTAGCTCCATCTTCAGGCCATAGTTCTCCAGCACGATGCACAGGGCCTGTATGAACCACGAGCCGTCCTGGTTGTTCCTCCACGAATAGTACCCTGAAACATTCGGAGAGGGGACTTTTTATAAGTCTAACACAAATAAAATATATTGGCATTATTAAGTACAAACATTGACTCCTTAATTTCTTTTTTTTTTTGTCTATACAAATATTTTGTAAATGTGGGTTCAAATGAAACTAACAACTTTTGTTTCTGTGAAATAATTACAGTAATACAAAAAATTAAGAAAAAACCTTGCAGTACAAAGAAACATTACACATTCTATTATACATTGGCTTGTTTTCTCTTTCACCCTACCAACCAGAATTAAGAATAACCTGTGCTCATCATAAATAAGAAAAAGGCATTAAAATGGTAAGGCCTTTTTTCCCAAATTTTTTATTTATTTATTTTTAATCTGACAATCAAGTGTATAAAAAACAGATTTTTTTTATCTCAGCTTGGGAGTAACTGATTATCAAGCACACCACTGGGCTACTGGTTCATTATTTAAAGCTATCATGTGTGGCTAGATGAACACTGTGTATCCCTGGAGTTATTTCCAACACCTTTCATCTCTAAATGCAATAATTAATTCAGATATCTCATTCTTTGCTATAGCAATGTGGGCCAGCCCAAATGTAAAATTAAAGCATTTGAAATCATGACATGCACGGGTGGCCCAGTCATTTCAGGCGTCGCAATTTGCTGTGCAGAGTTGCATCCCTTGGGCTTGCCAGATACATACGATTGTGGTTTCAAATAGAAGTTCGCCCTGATTATGTTTGATCAGCACCTTACCGATGCTCGTGGGTCTCACCAAAGTCCTAAACATCAGCTCGGGCTTTAAATTCCGCTCACATGAAAGTGACACTGTTCAAAGCAGTGTTAAACCCAACTCACTTTCTCATACCAAAGATGTGAAGAGATGGTATTTGTTGTTACCCAGCCTGACGCGCAGCATTAAGGTACTAAAACAAGGACTGACCGTCTTAGAGTCTGCATTGTAAAACTGCGGCATGGTGTTTGCCTGTCTCACGGAAGGCCAGGGTTCAGTACCCGACTCACACACTCACAGTCCCTTCTGACCAAGGCAAGACCAAATCAAAGGGAAGATAAACTGATCAAAAACAATGCCACCATAGCAATAAAGCCTATTAAACCAAACCTGCTTCCAAACACCTTGCACAAGTGCAGACACAGCCTTGTGGGAAAGGGGATGCACTTAACATACAAACTGCTAGCACATAATTTTAGGAAACAATTTGCATTTGTTAGCCAAAAATTAGTCAATTAACCGTTACATTTGTTCAAAACATGTATCCAACATGTCTCCAAATGATTTAGTTTTTCGTCAACATGATTAGTATGGTTCAAAGTAGGGGGTGGAAGAAGCACCCAGCTCTCGATCTGCTTGCTACTTATAGTCAATCCTTGTAATCTCGCACTAAGTTATCTGAAAAAGTGCATGTTGGGAAGTTAAACTTTTCATCTTCCAATGGCTCCATCTATCTCCAACATTTTGTACCTGGTACTGTTGAATATGCGAACAAGAAGTCAGCTTCAATGGGAATCTTGCGTATGCTGACACTGTTCGCGGCATCCATTTCATCCTCGTCTTTAGATGACAGGCTTGAGTCGGACACGTCCACTCCATAATCCATCTTCGTACCTCGGCAAGCCTGGAGGAGACAACATTCTATACCCTTGTGCCAAACTGGTTTTAATCATGTAAAAAATGGAATATGTCATCTTTCTTCTGTACAAAGACATATCGTGTGTGTTATGAATACCGTTAGCATGGTTAGTCTTGTATCTACAGGACCTAATTAGAGCTTTTGATGTTCCAAAAGGAAAAAAAACAATATATGTTTGGTTTAAAAGTTTGCCAATGTATCAATCAATTTGAAAAACAAGTTTGATTTTTTAATTTTTTTATATAAAAGTAAAAGTATTTGTGAAGCAATATATTTCCAAACATCATGCTTTTTTTACTTTTCTGTTTACTTTTAGAGAAACAACATTTTAGGTTATTGAAAGACAATAAATAATTAACAGTGAGTAAGTATGGTTTTACACCACTTTTAGCAATATTCCAGTAATTTGATGACAGGGGACACCAGTAATGAGCTTCACACATTGTACCCTTCTTGAGGAATTGAATCCCGGTGTTCAGCGTGACGAGTGAACACTTTAACCCCTCATCTGCCCCACCACCCTTCACACATTTACATCTACTGGACACTGTATTCTCATCAGTTTCTGCAAGAAATCCAAGAAAGTGACTTTTGTCTTTTGTTTTCCACAATAGTTTTCACATATTGTAAAACAGCTCCACAGTCCTAATAAATGTAACAGTAAAAGTAATGATGTTTCCAGCCTACAGTAGCTCTCAGTAGTTGTACAAAGATCACCCTAAGTTCAGTCTTTTGTTTGGAATTTGTTATCAAAATAAAACAGATGGACATATTTTTCAGTCAATTTGTAAAATAACTGAATATTCCGGCGTTTAATATATTTACTAAGTGAAAATTTTGCACATTTTGACTTTAAAGATATAAACATGATAAAATAAGCAATGCTCAGGAGAAATATTTACTTTGTGTTGCAAGTCAAAATAGTGTCAATAAAAAATCGTACAATTACCAAGCAAGTGACTTATCAAAACTTCGTCACCAATGCCACCCACAAAGATACCTACATTTCCTTATTATTTCCAAAACTGTATTTCATTTTGTTGAACAATGTGACCATATGCCCTTATACTTAAATAAAAGTGACAAATGCGCTTACAAATTGCGCAGCACAGGTCGCGAACTAGTCTAGGTTTCTGCTATATCATCCGGGTACTCACGGAAAAAACAATAACAAAGGCAACAACCAGTCCCAGGGAATTGCTTTAGATCAGTGCCCCTTTAATTGATTTACCCAGAAAAAATGGCAATTTTGCATTTTAATTGTCCTTGGAAAATAAAAACATTCACCAGAAGTAAAATGTTCACTCCCCATTGTATTGTGACGGACTTCACAGTGTTGGCTTGTATTGACATCAATGATTAGTCAACCAGCAGAGAGAGTAAGGCAATCGTGTGCACTTAGTGCCAAATCTTGGTCATTGATGAACTCTGTTAAACCCAATTGATTTGGTTCAAAAAGGACAAATTAGTGATTAGGAAATTATTGGTAAATCTATCATGAAATTACGTCCAGCAGCTGATGTCTCCCAAAAAGCTGAGACAAGTCAAGGTCATCTGGTCGGAAAGTAACATGAGAGTTCTTCTGAGAGTGTGACATGGTGTGGGGTGGGTTGGCATGGTGTGGGGTGGGGTGGCATGATGTTGGGTGGGTCGGCATGGTGTGGGGTGTGGTGGCATGGTGTGGGGTGTGGTGGCATGGTGTGGGGTGGGTTGGCATGGTGTGGGGTGTGGTGGCATGGTGTGGGGTGGGTTGGCATGGTGTGGGGTGTGGTGGCATGGTGTGGGGTGTGGTGACATGGTGTGGGGTGGGTTGGCATGGTGTGGGGTGTGGTGACATGGTGTGGGGTGTGGTGGCATGGTGTGGGGTGGGTCAGCATGGTGTGGGGTGTGGTGGCACGGTGTGGGGTGGGTTGGCATGGTGGGGGGGGGTGGTGGCATGGTGTGGGATGGGTCAGCATGGTGTGGGGTGGGTTGGCATGGTGTGGGGTGGGGTGGCATGGTGTGGGGTGGGGTGGCATGGTGTGGGGTAGCTTTGGGCATGTGACATTTGACAGAAACTTTTTCTTTATTCAAACATATGAGAGTCAGAAGGAATGTGAACATTAGTGACTTGTAGTGTAGCCATGAAGTTCTAGACTGACTGCGTGACTGTATGGGTATATGTATGTCATATGTTTGCATGTGCATGTATGCATGCGTGACTGTATGGGTATATGTATGTCACGTGCTTGCGTGTGCATGTATGTGTGACGGTATGGGTATATGTATGTCACGTGCTTGCGTGTGCATGTATGCGTGACTGTATGGGTATACGTATGTCATGTGCTTGTTTGTGCATGCATGCATACTTGTGACTGTATGGGTATATGTATGTCATGTGCTTGCGTGTGCATGCATGCATACTTGTGACTGTATGGGTATACGTATGTCATGTGCTTGCGTGTGCATGCATGCATGCATGACTGTATGGGTATACGTATGTCATGTGCTTGCGTGTGCATGCATACATGCGTGACTGTATGGGTATACGTATGTCATGTGCTTGCGTGTGCATGCATGCGTGACTGTATGGGTATATGTATGTCATGTGCTTGCGTGTGCATGTATGCGTGACTGTATGGGTATACGTATGTCATGTGCTTGTTTGTGCATGCATGCATACTTGTGACTGTATGGGTATATGTATGTCATGTGCTTGCGTGTGCATGCTTGCATGCGTGACTGTATGGGTATACGTATGTCATGTGCTTGCGTGTGCATGCATGCATGCATGCGTGACTGTATGGGTATATGTATGTCATGTGCTTGCGTGTGCATGCATGCATGACTGTATGGGTATACGTATGTCATGTGCTTGCGTGTGCATGCTTGTGTGACTGTATGGGTATATGTATGTCATGTGCTTGCGTGTGCATGCATGCGTGACTGTATGGGTATACGTATGTCATGTGCTTGTGTGTGCATGTATGCGTGACTGTATGGGTATACGTATGTCATGTGCTTGCGTGTGCATGCATGCATGACTGTATGGGTATACGTATGTCATGTGCTTGCGTGTGCATGCTTGTGTGACTGTATGGGTATATGTATGTCATGTGCTTGCGTGTGCATGCATGCGTGACTGTATGGGTATACGTATGTCATGTGCTTGCGTGTGCATGTATGCGTGACTGTATGGGTATACGTATGTCATGTGCTTGCGTGTGCATGCATGCATACTTGTGACTGTGTGTTAGAGTGTTGGATGCTTGCACTGTATGGGAAAGTACTTGAACACCATGTGTGTCAGCATGTATTTAGTGGTATCTGTCTGAAATGATTACATTGTTAACCTGTGTATGCTGTCATGTTTTTTTGCATCTGTCTCTCCTAACCTGGTGGGTGGCATGTGTACAACTTGTTTGCTCTTGGATTATGTACTGACAAATGGTGAGACATTAATTAACTATTTTGTGCTTGTACTTCTAGTGCTTCCATCCCCTGATGAATTAGTTTTGTACAACATTTCCAGGTGTTTATGACCGAAACCAGACACAAGCTATCAGCAAATCAATCATCTAAGACGTGCCGAATCTTTTCATGTGAATACAATATGTCAAAACTAACATCCATCATCTGAGACCATTGCAAGATTCAGTTACCTGATGGCCCCACACCAACTTCTTGTCTTATTTTACAGAAAATCTACAGTAAATTTTGATTAAAGTCTTGGATGACCAGTGTTTAACTGAAAAATTGTGTTATTGTTTTGGATATTTAGTTCACTTCAGTTAACTATTGTCATAGCAAACAAGGGACCGCTAATTTTAAGTAGTTATAACCATAGTTCGTTATAAGCATATGTACAACATACACGTATATACAGAAAATGGACGGGGCCAAGAAACAGTTCGTTATACCCCGGTATCCATCAGTTCATTATAAGCGTGGTCTTTATAAACGTAGTTTACTGTATTAGGTAAAGAAATTACCTTCTTAATAATATTATTAATTTATTTTATGACTTTATTTCTTTTTGAGGGTACCTTAATGATATTATTCATAGTTGCTGATCTTGTTGGTGTGTGACTTTCTCAGTCCGTCGCCTATCAACATGATCAACACTGTGTTGTTCCTATCGTTGTTTGCCCATACCCAATATGCCTCGTGCTGAGCATGTGAATACTGTGGCTGTTCTAAATCCAGATATCTAATTAACACTTCCCAGACCATGAGACTAGGGCTTTGTTTTCATTTGGTATTGGTTTACTAGAGCAAAGTCAATTGTACAAACAATCATTTAGAGTAATGAGGTTATCAACACACCTCCACAAGACATGACATAACCAATGAACCAAGTCACTGAGGACCACCTCCCTGGTCCAGTGGAGACAGCACCTGCCCAGAGAGTGAGGTCGGGGTTCCATCCCTGGTTGTTTCAAACCAAATGACGTTAAAAGATGGTACTTGTTGTTACCCTGCCTGGCGCTCGGAGTTAAGGGGATAAAACAGGACTGGTCAGCTTGAGGTCACCTCTCACCTCACCAAGGCACCGAGAGATTTTGTGTCTAACAGTGCTTTTAACAGTTTTTCATCTATATAATGACAGTCATTGTTTTAACATGCCAAACAGCCTAAAGATGCAAATCCCGAATGAGACTCAACCCAGAAAAATATGAGAATCTGTACTTTACTAAGAAAGTGTTATCCCAAATATAACATTTGTTATGTTAAACCTAAAGATACAGTTGATGAATGCTCTAGTAAGACTTCAGAAACAATATTGACTTACAAAAACATTATGCCCAACATTACATAAATAAAGTCTTTGATAGGCATTTAGAAGTTGGGAGAACATGAATACATGACACTTTTTTATAGATAGCAACTTCTTTTATTCTTTATACAACATTTCAAAGCTACGTCTTGAAACGTCATATGTAGAATAAAAGAAGTTGATATCCATAACAAAGTGTCATGTATTCATGACGTAAATACATGAAACATTTATTGATAATAATTTTTTTATCATTTTCATTGTTTGTAATGACATTTCAAGGAAAAAAAGTGTGCACTATACTCAACAAAATATGGTTCTTCTTGCCCATTCATTGGGTGAATCATTATAAGCTACCTTTTTAATGATACAATACATTGGGAATCTAAATCTAAAAGGTTTCAAACTGACATATTCTATTCAGTCAGTTGTGGATTATTTCTGATAGTCACCAAAAATTCAAACCACAACAATGGGACACAATTCTGCGTAGCAAGTTGCAGTGATACACACACGTTCCCCCTTTCTCAAACTGACAATATTTAACACTTGCAAAGTCGTGAATAGATTCCAAGGTCAAATTCCGAATATGCTTGTTGCAAGTTGATGACCCTGCTTGAAGTATTAGCCTGAATATAGCTGGTAATTGTATTAAGATGCTGCAAACAGCACACGTCCACAGTTGCGGTAATGGATGGCCAACATTCAGACACACACGGGACTTCATTATGCAGACCCACGTACAGAAGATAACTTTTGTGGCCCAGAACAGTGGGACATCGAAGACAAAGTGTCTGGTGTGCAGACAATTGGCATGACCAAAGGGAGACATATCTTACGTGTTATTCAGTATTTCATACAAGTGATAGGGCTATTAATACCAGAATGTGCCATACAACCGAGAAATATGCTGAGCAAGTTTTCACCTGGGTCACTTCATGAATATGGAGACTGAGGAAGAATTATATTCTCTGTATAATGTCTGTCAAAAAAACAGGTTTGCTTAAGGAAACATGTCAGACATGGTTACTATCTTTGAGTTGTTATCGTCAGTGCTAAAGAGTGAGTGAGTGAGTGAGTGAGTGAGTATGGTTTTACGCCGCTTTTAGCAATATTCCAGCAATATCACGGCGGGGGACACCAGAAATGGGCTTCACACATTGTACCCATGTCGGGAATCGAACCCGGGTCTTCGGCATGACGAGCGAACGCTTTAACCACTAGGCTACCCGACCGCCCCCACTGCTAAAGAGTAGAATGTGTATCATGGAACCACAAGCCATTGTCCATAGCTTTGATGTGTATTATTCCAGGGCTCTCCAACCAAATGTTTAACACATCAAATAAGTCCAAATCAATTTTATTTTTGTGTTCTACAAATGAATTAGGTCAATACATAATGATTGCGACAGGTTTGAAATTTATTCAACAAAAATAATCAATGTAAAATTAATAACATGAGAATTCTGGTAATTGTTTTTAAAATTTTACTTGTGTGCGTGTGTGTGTGCATGTGTTTGTTAGTATGCATATTACAGGTCACTGGACATTATAAATACATGGAAATATACCACAGTGCTGTTATGAGTTACCTAGTCCTATCCTTGTCTTTTCACTAAATATGAACCAGAAACAGATGTAAGTAGGCAGGAACCAGAATTGTTTATTCATAAGTTTCACGTACCAACATGCACCTGGTCTGTAAAGTTGATTGATCAAGGTGACAAGTTGAATAATCTCACAAATCTACTTGGGGAGACATTAGCATCCTGAAGTCTGCACAGCCAAGACAAATGGTGTTTAAGGCAGCATCTCCTCATCCACCAAAGTGAAGGATATACAGTCTGCTGCACAATGTGGCTGCGCAAGCAGTTTAGTTTACACAGTCTGTCATACACTGACAAAGTCCTCACAATATTACCTCCGGGAGAAAGACAGGAAGCCATCAGTGGATGCCGTTTATTGGTTTTGTTTTATTGAAAGGCGCTTACTTCATGTGGGACCATACACAAGCATGCTCGGCAAACACACCACAGAGCAAAGACCATTTGCATTCACTGATGAGACTTGTGTTAAGTAGGCTCAGGCCAATTTTTTTCTTGTTTTATTGACGAGTCTGCCTTTATTTGCAAAAATATAATTATGATAATAAAATGCCATCTATGGTTGAAAATATGCTTGACACCTCCACTTACTCATTTTCTTAAGACTTTTTGTGAGAAAATTAAATTATTTTATCAACTTATTTGCCATAAACTATTAAATCATATAAGGAAAGAGGTTGTATTTTTTCGTAGGGTTGGGTAGCTATCTCTGTGGTAACACAGACCCTTATGACCATATATCCAAATACCCATTATGATCATGTGGGGCACCTGTTTTCTTAGCAGCCTCTTAATATCTTAAGTAAGAACTGGGCTTCTCAATGAAGCGGAGCACTTGAGTCTACCAAATCTATATATCGACCTCAGCAAAAAGATTAAGATTTCTTCTCTGACTGGGTGCCTGTCCCCCTTGACCTAATATGGTATTACCAACTTGCAGGAAGTAGTTTAGGTTTATCCACATCGATGAGTGGGGGGGGCATGGCATCCTCTAGATCCACCTATCCTAAAACGGGCCAATGGGATCTCTTGACCTGATATGATAATACCAACCTGCAGAAAGAAAAGCTTGGGTTTTCCAACAAGAGATGGGCACCTGTCTCCCTTGAACGGCATAACTAGGAGCTCAAGGGAAATGTAACCGTCAGTGGCGTACACTCGGCCTTCCAGTCCATGACTCAATATGGCGCACCCAAAACAGTCTGCGTTCGAGTGATCATAGGCTGCAGCTGAAAACAGAATCAGTCCGATGGTTAAGCAAGAATGAAATCATGTACTGGATAGAGCAAGGACTCAGGGCAAGTGTTATTGACCTTTCACTTGCCCACAAACAAAATTCACTTGCAAATTGATTATCCTAAACTTTCCTTGGCCCCATGAGGTACAAAGTCATCAACTGGGGTCTATGTAGTCTTGCTGTTGCTTGAGGGACGTTAAAAGCTCATATCATGTACATAACTGAAAGGGGCATGCAATTATATGGTCACATAAAAATACGTAAATTGTAAGTGAGGGGCGAACAACCAATCTTTTTTGCAGTTTTTCCATAAACTGAACAAATTTAGGCTACATCTAACAACAGACTACTGTTTTCTGATCAGCTGAAAAAGAACTGGTGGGTCTTATTTACAACCTATGACAATGTCACTGATTTCTTACTGTTGTCTCCATTTTCCCGTTAAATAAGGAGTCTGTCAACATACAAAATGTATATATTTATAAGAATTGACTTCAATATGTTTTTGCATTTATGGAGTTATATTGAAGTCAGTTCTAAAATGAATGTTCTGAATGAAGCACTCAATCTCTCCAAAACCATGGATTTGTTCTCTCTATTTGTTTATCCCACCCACCCACCCTGTTGTCCTTAATTACTGGTTGTTCAAGCTTCGCAGTTGTCAATTTGGTGGAACGATACTGGAGCATTATGTTTGTACATAATGATGTCATCATGAATAAAATGTTGAGGATGGGCAGGGTGCTGGTGGACTGCATTACAAGTTACATTTGGCGTTTTTGAATACATCCCAAATTATAAATTATATATGTTAGGGTTGCCCGCTTTACAGCAGGAACCTATTTATCAATTCTGCTTTACAGCAGATGGCTTAGTGTCCGCTTTTCAGGGGTTGGTCAGCTTGGCAACAATAGTTGCCCTCGCTCATTATTTGGCAATGGTACTTGCCTGGCATAGCAACATGGGTTGCTTGGCAACAGTAGTTGCAGGGCAGCAGATGCTGTATTGGTAAGCAACATGGGTTGCTTGGCAACGATAGTTGCAGGGCAGCAGAGGCTGCATTGGTAAGCAACATTGGTTGCTTGGCAATGGTAGTTGCAGGGCAGCAGATGCTGCATTGGTAAGCAACATGGGTTGCTTGGCAACGGTAGTTGCAGGGCAGCAGATGCTGCATTGGTAAGCAACAGCGGGTGCTGCATTAGGGTTCCCTTAACAGGCGTTAAGCTCATTTTCTGCAGTCCACCGGTACCTCCACATCTGCGACCATTTCATCCAAATAAATTCTCTTGTCTTAATTTCAAGTTCCATTATCATGCACTGAATATGGGCAAGTATGAATGAACTTGTCCAACCTGTAAATACTACAGAACACTGACAGAGGGTACTCAGACATCTTCCTGAGGCAAAGGAGTTAACTGACTATAAAAGCCCAATTTCCACCCTTGATGAACTAGGCAGGAATTTCGTGGCTTGATCATAGTGCCACCAGTGGCTATTACGAGTTATGTACCTTCTATTGTATGTACCCTCCTATTGACCAATCAGATTCAATCTCTCATGTCACTTGCATTTCCTTCAAACAAAATGGCGGCGCCCAGTCAAGACAATCTAATCAATAATAAAGATCTATATTGTAACATTACGTTCCATACCCTGTGAAGTGAATCAAATCACTTGAGCACCTTTATTAAAAACATGAAAAAATTGCAAAATATCTGTCGACGCCCAGTTGGTGGTACACATGCTTTGCAAATCCTGCAGTCAACTGAAATCAGCAAGTTGAAATCCATGTCATTCGTTATGCAATTTTGATTGGACTATGCATAGACTTGTTAGTCCAAACAAAATGTAACTCCCGAATTCCAGCCTTGTTGCGCAAAGGTGGACACTGGACTTTTACAGTCAGTTATCTCCCTTGCCTCGGAAGATGAGGGTGACTGAGTTGGGTTTAACACCGCTTTTAACAGTATTCCAGTTATATCGCGGCGTGTCAGCTTAATGTGGGAGGAAAGCCCGAAGTGATGCAGGTCTCAGACGTTTACCACTTCGGTGAAACCCACGAGCACGGGTATGGTGCTGACAAACCTAAAAACATAATCGGGGCGAACCGGGATTCGAACCCACAATCATAGGTTTCTGGCATGCCCAAGGGATGCAACTCTGCACAGCGAATCGCGGCGCCTTAGACGACTAGGCCATAAGTGCCCCCTGGAAGATGAGGGTAACGGTAATATCCGAAACCCTGCATTCCAGTAGAAATATATCAGCCTTGTGGGTCTTGGTGGTGTAACAACAGGGCAGATGGGAATCCAGATGTGTAGCTGACAGCACACTAAAGTACTCACGGAAATGAAAAAAACCTGTTTTTTCGATCTCAGATTTTAAATAAATGCAGTTAATATACAAAATATAAAAATATTCAAACAACTCAATTAGTACTAATTGGGCCTTGGCACAAATACAGCGTAGCAAAGGTTTTTATGTCTTTTTACATGTAAAAGTGTGTAAAAATATGAACAAAACAGACTATTGTGAAACTGAGCATAACTAGGTGTTAGTAGATCAAGGTGAATGTCCATGACATATGACACCTTGACGACAGGTGAAAACAGGTGCTTGAAACCCACGTGCATGTGATTTGTCAGTGGTTAGTGACTTGTGAGTGGCATTGTGGGATTGTGAATCATCGTCAAAATATCAGAACGTAAAAGTAACATATTCCCTTCTCATTATTATTATGTACATAAACATAGCTGTTATTTTTATTGTTGTTTTGATAACTTTTTTTCCAAGCTAATTTGCATATGTTCACAAACAAGTGTTGACTGCTGTGATGCTGAATACTCTTACCCCTGCTAAATCATTTTCTTTGTGTGTCAATCTGAATTTCTGTTTCATTAGAACTATCATTTATTTGAAATAGTAGTTCAAAGTTTGCTATGATTGAATAGCCAAAGACATAAACCAAAAGTATAAACATTACTACATTTGGGGTTAGACGGCAAATTTCAAGATTCTTGTCACTGGTGGTAGTGATGTTACCTAGTGTGGAACGAAAGTGGGAAGGAGCTTGACTAGCAGGCTGTGATGGGTGGAAGCAATGAACACATGTACCCAATTTCATCAATGATATGCCACACAATCATCTATAAGTTAATCGCACCCAAGACACTACCTTTTCTCTTCCATGTCTACCACCTATGTCAGAACAATGACAACATGAGTTATCTCCCCTGGCAAGGTACTCGAGCACATCACAGAGGACTCAAGCTATCATGGGCTTCCCCAAAGAGGATAGCGTCCAGGCCCTGCATCAGTGCTGGCTCTCCTCCCACATCATCAGCTGACATGCTGTGATATAACTACAGAAACCCTACCTGTGCTCGAGAACCTGTTGGAGGCTCAATAATGCAGTGTTAAATAAGAGTCAAGCAATTATTCACTCATCTTCACAAGGTCATTGTCATATTTCCAAGAATCGGACATTATCAAATCTGAATTTCGCAGTATCGACCGACACCATTGATACATTGTTGCAATAGGTCAGTGACTTATTAGCAATCTGCAATATTGACAACTGTCTTATGACTGGCCTGTCAAACTAGCAGAAGATTCATCTGGTATTCCTCATAAAGTGCATTTGTTGGGTACTATCTTCCATACAATTTGTTTGTTTGTTGTTTAACGTCGCACTCAGCAATATTCCAGCTATATGACGGTGGTCTGTAAATAATCGAGTGATCGGACAATCCAGTGATTGACATCATGAGCACTGATCCACGCATTTGAGATACGATGACATGCATGAACTAAGTCAGCGAGCCTGACCACCCGATCCCGTTAGTCGCCTTTTATGGCAAGCATAGGTTGCTGAAGACCTATTCTAACCCATATGTGGCTATGATAAACATGATAAAATCAGGAGTAGTATTTGTGCTTCGATTTGAACACAAAATGGGGAAGGTGAGTAGCTGAGTTCAACTGAGAGAGAGTTTCACCCCGAAGGACTGTAGCATATGAAAGATCTTTGTCCAGAGGTCTTGAAATTGCCACTTGGAACAGAGGGTTTATCCATGGATCACCGATTCCTGACTCGGTTGTGCTTCCCCACCAACTCCAGTGAACAGGCTGGGCACATGGGCATTCCAAGGAATAAGACCACCAGTGAGTGAGTGAGTGAGTGAGTGAGTGAGTGAGTGAGTGAGTGAGTGAGTGAGTGAGTGAGTGAGTGAGTGAGTGAGTGAGTGAGTGAGTGAGTGAGTGAGTGAGTGAGTGAGTGAGTGAGTGAGTGAGTGAGTGAGTGAGTGAGTGAGTGAGTGAGTGAGTGAGTGAGTGAGTGAGTGAGTGAGTGAGTGAGTGAGTGAGTGAGTGAGTGAGTGAGTGAGTGAGTGAGTGAGTGAGTGAGTGAGTGAGTGAGTGAGTGAGTGAGTGAGTGAGTGAGTGAGTGAGTGAGTGAGTGAGTGAGTGAGTGAGTGAGTGAGTGAGTGAGTGAGTGAGTGAGTGAGTGAGTGAGTGAGTGAGTGAGTGAGTGAGTGAGTGAGTGAGTGAGTGAGTGAGTGAGTGAGTGAGTGAGTGAGTGAGTGAGTGAGTGAGTGAGTGAGTGAGTGAGTGAGTGAGTGAGTGAGTGAGTGAGTGAGTGAGTGAGTGAGTGAGTGAGTGAGTGAGTGAGTGAGTGAGTGAGTGAGTGAGTGAGTGAGTGAGTGAGTGAGTGAGTGAGTGAGTGAGTGAGTGAGTGAGTGAGTGAGTGAGTGAGTGAGTGAGTGAGTTTAACGCTGCTTTGAACAGTGAGTTTAACGCTGCTTTGAACAGTATTTCTGTGTGTCAGCTTGATTTGGGAGGAAGGCCCAAAGTGATACAGGTCTCAAACAAAAAAATGTAATACCATGTTGATAAAACCCACGGGCACGGGTATTGTGCTGACAAACCTAAAAATAGAATTTTGGCCAACCAGGATTCAAATACACAATTACAGGTTACTGCGCGCCTAAAGGA